GGGGGGGGCTTGTTTTAAAGTGTGGGTGCAAAGGGAGGAAACCCCACCCCCATGGGTTTACGCGGGGGGGGGGGGGGGGGGGGTGAACCCATGTAAACGCATGCGGTAGTGGTCAAGACCATTGAACTCGCGTCCTTACGGCGCCGGAACGGAACGATATGCCGGGTTTTCGCCGGTCCAAGGCTGTGTTGTGTTGTACGCTGCTCAAGGATGACCCAGAAGCGGATCATCACTATCCTTGCGTGCGGGGGCCGTACTTGCTTCAACCTCGCCGGCCGCAACAATAGGACCTCCGATACTGACAAAAAAACGAGGTGGTCTTGTTCTAATCTACACTTAGCCACCACGAACTCACAAGGCTGTGCTTCTTACCCGGGAAATAAACACATACATTAACGCGCCCCATACTCTTCAGCATTTCCATTGCAAACGACAAACGGCTGTCTCTCGCCCGCATGGAGAATCTACGACCATTCGTAAAACACACGCCGCCGAAATGACCACCTCACAAATCCCACAATCGTGTCACATACCGAGAAAAGACTCGTCCGCCATACACGTGCGACCTCTTCACCTGCCCGAAATAAACAAAAGACCCCAGGCAGGCAGGAACAAACAAAAAAAACACCTGCTGGTCGGCGAACCGTACTTGTAGGAATACAAGTTGGTCATCATCTGGACAAAACTATGAACAAAAAGCAAATCTAACCCGGACTCGTTCAGCTGGGCAAGAGAGGAGCTCCTTGCGTTTTTGTAAAAAGGTACATACTTCTATACCGTAGGTTGCATAAGACGTCCCAACCCCTTGAACCACTTTTCGAAGCTCGATATCTCGGCAGGAAAAGCAGCGACGGTGCCCGAAAATGGCGTCGTTGGAAACGTCCCACCGAGAGCTTTTCGAAAAACGAATACTTCAATTTCGGCATCCTATTCGTCGTGGAGTAATCGAGCTTTGAAAATCGGTCCAGGGGGCGTGATGTCTTATGCAACCTACGGTACATATACCGAAGACGACGGTTTCGGCGTACCTTGCGGCCTACAACGTTCTTGAAGAACACGGTGTCGTTGGCCCCGCAGGCCGCCAAGCCGTCGAAAGAGGTGTTGCACACGGTGAAGGAGATGGCGCCGCCCTCCCCGATCTCGTCCTCTGGCCACCAACAGAAAAAACGGCAACCATGTGATCAAAAAACATTGTTCGAGACACGGTTTCACTCATGATCAACACATATCCTACATGAGCCATATGTACGGGTTCACTCTCATGATCAATATCCTACATGATGATGCCATGTTGCGCGATTTCACTCATGATCAATATCCATGTGATGCTGCCGTATGTACAGAGTGAGGAAATGTCACATCATCGGGTAAAGTTGGCACGCCATTGGCGAAGAAGAAATACATTCGAAGGACACGATTTTAGTTGCCGGGCGGACAGACAGGTAGCGACGCGGCCGGCGGAGGAGGGGCAAGACAGGGAAGGATGATCGGGTCTGCGGTAGAACAACCGGGAAGTCAGTGGCCTGTGCTTAGAGAGAGAGAGAAAGGTTGGGTGGACTGGGACATGGCACCCACGACCTTCCAGCGGCGGCAGTATCTTCAAAACGATCGATATCCAACGACCATGCAAGTAGTCCCCCCCCCCCACTTGCGACTCGCTGAATACCTCACGGCGCTTCGCGCTTGGTGATATGATATGATAGCCTGGTCCTGTGTGAACAACGCTCCTTCTGTCCTATCGAGGACGCGTGGTCATAGGCCTAACAGCTTAGGGATGCAAGGCAGAAGTACGCCCCCCCGCTCCTGCAACCTCACCGTCTTCGATGTTGGTGCTCCCAGCCGTGTTGTTGTAGAAGACCGAGTTTCAGCACCGATATCTGCCCTATCCCCTGGTGCATGCCGCCCCCCTTCTTGCTGGCGAAGCACTTCTCGAACAGGCAGCCGTCGACAAGCACGTCCGTGAACTCCGCCTAATACACAACAAAAACGATACAAACGGGACAGTAAACCCTCCCCACAAAAGGTCATGTGATATTGGTGTTCCTTGGAGTCTTAGGGGCCAGAGGACAGGGAAGTTGTCATGAAGCTGGCGGACTGTTCGTCCTGTGGTTCGAATAACGGGGGAATCATATGTCCCAAATGTCGGGGTGTTCGACTCCCTTCTCTGCTATTTTTAATAGTTATTTTTCCACTTTTCCGTACTGTTTGGGTGCTCGGCAGAGCACTGCTGTCTACGGGGCCTCCAGAGGTTACGGGGACAATTGTATGGGTATGATGGACACGACTCGCGGGGACCCTCTTGCCTCCCTGACGTCTGTCACTTGTAAATAATCATACAAGGTTTGAGCCAATTTTTTTCTCTTTCGTCCTCCGACGAACCTGCTGCACCCAAACATACCGTAGGTGACACTACGTAGGATGCCACACCCCCTCGATCGTTGTTCACAGCTACCACTACTCCACGACGAAGAAGATGTCAACGTCTAATGACAATTTACGTTTTCGGAGTGCTCTCTACGAGGCGGTTCCATCTTCGGCACCGCCGTTCTTTTCTGCTGCGGGAAAATCGAGCTTGGAAAATCCATCAGTCCAGGGGGTACGGAATCTTGCGTCAACTACGGTAGCCTCTCGTCTACACAGCAGTTAGCGCCCGCGTTTAACACGTCCATTTGGGGTCGAGGATCAATTTCTTGCTTCGTGGCCACGGTAATATAGTCTATGGAAAAAAGTGTAGGATCCACGCCTAAGAATGTGTTTCTTTGTCGATTTTTCTCCAAAATCTGAGCATTCGAGAATTACAAGATTTCTTTTATCGCGGGCGCTTGCTGTACTACCCTGCCATCAACAGCCGCACCCACTCACCCCGATCGCGCCGCCGGCCCCGTCGACGTCCTCATCCCCCGGCAACGGCACCTCCCCGGCCTCACAGCGGCGGAACACGGACCCGTGCACGACCAAGGTCGAGCCGTTCGCGAAGATTCCTCCGCCCCAGTAGTCGGCGTAATTCTCCTCAAACTCGCACCCGGTGACGGTCACGTTGGAGTCGATGGCGTGAACGCCTCCTCCGCTGATCACCACGGTGGCGATGGCGGTTTCATTGACGCCGGAGGTGGTTGTGCTGTTGGTACCGTCGGCGGCGGCGTCCGTGCTGGCGGCGTAGGTGAACGAGCCCGTGGAGTTGGACGTGTAGCCACCGCGGACCGCTAGGCTGTCGAGGAAGAGCTGTCCGCCATCGACGAAAAAGAGCGGTCCCGTCGGTGCCATTGTTTCGGCCTCCTCACCCTCTTGCGTACTGGAGGGAAATGTGGAGGAAGAGTTGCCGCTCGAGGACGTGCCGGTACTGCTGCTAGTTGTGGTTGCCGAGGCCGCAGCGAACGTTCCCATCGCGACGGAGGTCAGGCCGTTCGGCAGCGGGGGCAGCCTGTTCGACAGCGCTTCCACCCACTCCTGGTCTCTCTCGACGCTGCTGCTGGTGCTACTGCTGCTACTGATGCTGCTCGTGCTGCTGGTGCTGCTAGCACTGCCGCTGCTTCCAGCAGCAGCACTCGAGTCGCCGGCGGCGGCACTGCTGCTCCCGCTACTGGGCGTGGTGGCGTTGCTACCGCTGCCGCTGTTGCCGGGCTCGCCGAAGATGCGCACCGTCGTCCCGCGGCCGATGTAAATCGTCCCTGGAACGGCCACCTCGCCCAGCCAGGACACGTTGAACTCCCCACCCTCGCAATCGAAGAGGCTCAAGAGCTCCTCCCCGTCGCTTTCCGGCGTAACCGTCACCTCCTCCGCCCCCAGCCCGCCCGCCGCCGCGCAAGGCGCCGCCATCACCCCCATCCCGAGGGGTACACCCCCCGCCAGCACCGCGGAGCCCCCCCTCCCCCTCAAGCGCGCGCTCAAGCTCGACGGGTTATTGATCCGCGGCGCCGCGAGCATGGCGGCGAAGAGAACCAGGGAGACATTTCTCAGGGAGTGGCGGGCGATCGCGGGGGCAGGCCGCCGCCTCGCCGTGGCGCTGGCGGTGTCGCTCCTGCCGGCGGCGACGTCGGGTCGGAATCGCCGTTGATCTCTAGTTTCCAGAGCTGTTCGTTTCTCGCCCCTCCCCGGGAGTGCTTTCCTGTTCCTCCTCCGCGCAACGTCTTTTGCCTCCTGCTGGCAGGCACGCTGGTTAGTCTGGCCCCTGCTTCGCATCGCTTGTTCTGCTTCCGCCCCTGGAGGCCGGCAACCGCCTCCGCGGTCGTTTCTGGAAACCCTCGAAGGGACCACACTCTTCTCAAGTGGCCTGTGGAATTCCAAGAACACCGCAAACGGCAGGCAGCCGGAATGACGTGAACATAGCGGGGGGGGGGGGGGGGGGGGGGTAAATGGGGGGGAAAAGAAAATTTTAGTGGGTTAAAAAAAAACAAAAACCGGATTAAAGGATAAAAAAGCCTCACTGGCACGGGGAAAAAAAAAAAAAAATAAATGGGGGGGGGAAAATTTGGGGGGGGGGTTTTCCCTAAAAGAATAAAAATCCCCCACCAAAAAAAAATAAATGTCTC